AATACCCATTTGGTTCTAATGATGTTGAACCCTTTTGGTTTAGGAACCAGATCCCACACATCGTTTCTGGTGAATTGGTTTAATTCTTCCTGCATTGCAAGTATCCAATCATTGTCCAAAAGGGCTTCGTCAATGGAAGTTGGCTCAATCAGAGACACTAATCCCATGAGATATTCTTCAGAGTTTCTGAATGTAGATCTTGTTCTGATTGGGTTTTCTTTCTTTCCTAGAATTTTGTTTTCTGGATGAGCTAAGTTGCTTCTGGATTGTCTTTTCTGGAGAGGCACTTCAGACGTTGTTGTAATGTTTGTGACATCTTCTTCTGGAGATGCCTGTGATTCATTGTGAGAAACTTCTAATGCAATGTCTTCAGCACCTGTAAATTGGACTTCTATATACGCAAAAGATTTATCTTGCTTTGACTTTTGAGAGCCAAGCTTATCATCAAATCTAACACTGATGGACTCTTCTACAATTTATGTTTCTATGTTATATACTCTATAGCCTCTTAAGCGTTCAGAGTATCCTAACATGAGACACTTTTGTGCTTTAGAGTCAAACTTGTTCAGATGTTCTTTAGTGTTCAGAATAAAACAGGTACATCCAAATGGATGAAAATAATAAATGTTGGGCTTTTTGTTCTTCCACAGTTCATATGGAGTCTTATTCAAAACAGGTCTTATGGAGATTCTATTATGAATGTAGCATGCTGTGTTAATTGCTTATGCCCAGAAGTTCTTAGCAATGTTAGTCTTGTTGATCATGGTTATGGTCATTTCTTGTAAAGTTTTGTTCTTTCGTTCTACAACTCTGTTTTGTTGAGGAGTTCTAGGACAAGAGAAATCATGAGAGATGTCATTCTCATTAAAAAATAGTTCAAATTTTTTGTTTTCAAATTCTCCACCATGATCACTTCTGACTTTAACAATTCTAAGATCTTTTTCGTTTTGGACTTGGTTACAGAAGGCAAAGAACACGGAATGTGACTCGCCCTTGTGTCTTAAGAACTTTACCCATGTCAATCTGCTATAGTCATCTACGATCACTAATTCATACTTCTTGCCACTAATGGATGCAGTTTTCACTGGTCCATATAGACAATTTTATCCTTAGATACCCATATCTTTTTGGGTCCTTATTTTTTAGAGTTACCAAAATTCTGTTTGAATTTTGGTTTAGCAGAAAAAGCATTACTAGTATATTTTATGTCATGTGTGTGCCCATAGGTGAAGTGAGAATACATAGGTGTGCGTTTAATGACCATATCCTTAACTTTCTTAGGTTAAGATACTTTTCCTTGTAACCTATTCCATTTCTGTCATTTCTGCTAACTCCATAGATCATTGAAGCCATCTTGCTTCTATCTATGTTTTTAGCAAGAACTTTTTGAAAGCTATGATCATATTCCTTTATGATCTTATCAGAGTTACTAGAAAGTTCTGAGATAGTTTCTTTCTGAGCATTTTGTAAATTATTTTTTAGTTTAGAAATTGTTTATTTCAGCTCAGAGTTTTCTGATCTCAGTTTCTTAGTTTCTTTGGAGTTAGAAACTAGATCCTTTTTTAGGTTCTTGTTTATGACTCAAAGTTTCTGATATCTTTCAAGAATTTCTGACAGACTCTCTTCTAATTAAGATCTAGAGATGTTAGAGAATACCTCTTCCGCCTCTGAGTTTGATTCTGATCCAGATGATCCAGTGTCGTATGATATGTTGGCCATTAGGGCTATGTTGGCTATTTCATCTTTTGATTCTCTTTCAGCTTCAGAAGAGTCTGAGTCTTCCCATGTTGCCATGAGGCTTTTTTTCTTTTCCTTAAATAACTTCTTTTTAGGTTTCTATTTTTGAAGATTAGGACAGTCGCTTTTGTAATGCCCTTGTTTATTACAATCGTAGCAGATAATATCTTTATTGCTTGACTTTCTGTATCCAGAAGATGGTTTAGAATGATTTCTTGTTCTTCTGGAATTTCTGAATTTCCTCTGCCTGTGCTTCCACAGCTGATTGACTCTTTTGGAGAGAAGAGACAGTTCGTCTTCTTTTAATGAGGATCCGCCAGAGTTTTCTTCTTTTGACTGCAAAACTTTCGATTCATATTTTTTGTTAGATTTAAGAGCTAAAGACTTACCTTGCTTTTGGGGCTCATCTTCTTCTAACTCTATCTCATGACTTTTGAGGGAGATGACAAGTTCTTTGAGAGAGATTTTGTTCAGATCTTTGGCCAGTTTAAGAGTTGTGACCATGGGTCTCGATTTCTTGGGTAAACTTCTGATGATCTTCTTTACATGGTAAGCAGTTGAGTACCCTTTATCCAAAACCTTTAACCCAACCACCAGAATTTGAAATCTTAAGAACATTGTTTCAATGGTTTCATCTTCTTCTATTTTGAAGGCTTCATACTTCAGAATGAGTGCAAGAGCTTTGGTTTCTTTGACTTGCGTGTTGCCTTTATGCGTCATTCTCAAGGAATCAAATAAGTGTTTTGTTGATTCTCTGTTTGTGATCTTCTCATACTTTGTGTATGAGATAGCACTCAAGAGAATAGTTCTAGCCTTGTGATGATTTCTGAAATCTCTCTTTTGATGATCTGATATATTTTTTCTGTCAATCTTCTGTCCGCTTTCATCAACAGGGTGTATATACCCATCAATCACCATGTCTCAGAGATCAGCGTCATGAGCCAGAAAGAAACTTTCGATTATGTATTTCCAGTAATCGAAGTTCTCACCATCAAAAATAGGAGGTTTGTCGCTGATTCTGTCTTTCTTATCATGGTAGTCATTGTTGATGTTCTGACTTGGTCCCACCATAGTGTTTTTCTTGCTTGGATCTTTTTCTGACACAGTTAAGTGCTTGTACTCAGAACCAGACGCTCTGATACCAATTGAAGAATGGAAAAACACAAGAAAGGGTGGGTTTGAATTGGGGTTTTTAAAACTTAAATAAAAGAGCACGTTGGTTATCCTGGATCATTTGAACTCAAACTACTTCAGTCCACCCGCCAAGGTGATTTCGCCTCTCTCAACGAAGTCTTAATCCACTAATCAATCTTGATTACACAGCTACTATGACAACCGTCAAAGTATTCTGGAGTTTAAACCACAATCTGGTTTTCTCAAGAAAATACACTAAACAATATTTAAATGAGTGTACAAAAATATTTTCTAATAAAACAGTATCACAAGTGATGTTTTACACAATTTAGATTTAGAACGTTTGAAGATGATGAAGATTACTACTTTGTTGTGCGTGAAAATCGTGAACGATTTCTCCTTCAAACTTTGTTTAAATAGGCGATGCATGTAGGAGCTTTTGGAATGTTGATCAATGATAATTAAAGATCTTTCCAAAAATAGAGATCCTTGTTCCCTTTCGGCCGTTACTTTTGAAATGGCAATAATTGAATTGTAACGCTTCAAAACATGCTTGCTTCAGAAGATGAAAGTTATCGTTGCTTCTTTCCAGAACTTTATGGATTAGAAACACGGAGTCTTGTTTGCAGCATTAGAACTTCTTTGAGAGATGTATAGAAATAAGAGTTGAAACAACTATTTAACTCATCTTTTGTGCTTCTTCCATCAGAACTTCTTTGCAAAACAAAATAAAAATTTAGGGAGCATAATTATTCTTTGAGTGTTTGTTATCATCAAAACTCTTAAAAGGGTTGTAGAATCAAACTATGTTCTAACATATACCCTTGAGAATAATCAATAAATTTCAAAAAACATGATTTTTATCGGAATTTTAGGGTATCGAAAATTTCAAGAAAATTCTATTTTTTTTGAAATTTCCAGAAGAAAATTTCGGAAAAGTATCAGATTTTTCGAAAAATCCGATACTACACTTTTTGTGGAAGAAAAAAAAAATTTACACTACCGGAAATTTCGAAATTTTCAATACAATACTGGAAATTTTGAAATTTCCGATACCGTGCCGAAAATTTCTGTATATTTTGAAATTTTCAAAAAGTATCAGAAGTTTCATTAAAAAACCAGAAATTTCAATCTTGAACACCTCCAAATTTGTTTAGAGCACTTTTGAAATAAATCAAATTAGGAAAATGGCATGTTTAATTTTAGGAATGGCATGTTAATTTCTCCTCTTTTCTAACACTCTTTATAGCACTTGTGAAACATATGTGACTTATACCCCCTTTATGTGAGATCCACATGTCTTTTACCCAATAAAAAATGAGTGTTGTGAGTAGTTTAATAAGTTATACAAGACCATCAGTAGAAGGGTAAAAAATATATGGCCTGTTTGATTTAATTTTGTACAACTTTTTTTTTAGTTTTTAAAATTTGAAAACCATAAAACTTATTTAGTAGCATAATTTTATAAAACTATTTTTGAAAGTTATTTCTATTTAAAAATTTTAAAAATAAAAATAGGTTTTTAAAGTTTTGATTTTGAGTTTTAATTTTAGAAACTAGGAAAAATAAAAAATAAAAAACAATACATTTTTCATTAATAGCAAATTTGTAATATTATGCAACTTTAAAACTAACACATTCAAGCGGGCATCTAGTATACCAATTTTTTTCAAAATATTCAGAGAAACACGCATCAGATTTTTCTACATGTCCATTATAAATTCAACACTTATAAATTACATTAAAAATCCGGTAAAAACCCAACTTTTCCCTTTTCAATTTTACATGTTTCTACCGGATGTTTCAAAAAACTATAAAAACTGATAGAAAGTAACTGATGAAAGGGACATTATGGGTGCAAGATATAATATCCTCGCATAATGACTGCTGCTGCTGCCAGCTCACGATGGTCAAATGATATTCGACAGGTAATTTTTCTTCTACTGTCGTTATATACTTATATTTATTCACAGCAGAGGAGGCGAATTTTCTTTTATAATTTTGCAGCATACACATTTTATCCCAAGCACTTGATATATGGCCTATTCCTACATGGCTACATGATTACTAAATAAAATTACAAATTTTAACTTAAGGCCTGTTTATACTACATACATTGTGTGCTACATTTAATCACTGTAATCTAATGATGTAGAACCAACACCATCTGGATCCTCGGTTTTTTCTTCATTTTCTTCTCTGCTGTACCCTGTATTTGAGTTCCCTCCAATTATAAGATCTGCCTGCCCATCTTCGATGTCATCATCGACATCATCATCCATATCCACATCTTCCACATCATCTCCTGTTGCTCGATAAAGATCACCTTCGTAGTCTGATCTTTCCGAATTGCTAGCATTTAGAACATTGGCTTCTGTTTCACCTTCATTAATTTCCTCTCTGACAAAGATTCGTGTTTCCTCCATGATGTCTTTTGGGGTATCTCTCTCACCATCAATCACATTCATCTTGGCTGCTGGTTTCTGCCTGCTTCTAATGCTCCTCCGACCACGAACGCGTCCTTGTCCATTTGGTGTCCCATTCCATCCATGTAATTTTCCTATTCTCCTGCTGTTAGATGTAGTGCTTCTCTTTCTGGAAATGGGTCTTGAGCTAGCAACTCTTCCTTGTGATCTTTGACCATGAGAGTGGTTGTGGACTTGCTGAGTCCTTTGTTCTCTGCTGTAGCTCTTAAGGCCAGCACCAAGAGCACCCCAGTTCTCTACAGTATGGTTAGCCTGAAATGAAGATTCAATGGCACCAGCATTGTAGGAAATTTTGGCAGCAGCAGATTTTGATGGAAGCTTCTGAAAAGGTTATATACAAGAATTATAAGGGAAATTCAAATAAAACATATGCAGGCCAATAATATAAAAGCCTAATCCCACAAAACAATGATTGCATCCACACTAATGTCTCTTCAGATATGACAACCAATTCTAATCCTAGAACCTGAAATAAGTTGTTAAAAAATAAACTGTGGAACTAGAAGTAGAAGCAGCCGAGTCATCCATACTGAGAACTTACATTACAAGATTGCTCTTTTTTCAGCATAATCACTATGAAAGCAGGATGACAGAAACACTTACCATAACAATTCCAATTTGTTTATCCTTCTCAGACTCCAGCTTTTGTTGTGAAGTGTAAAAGATGCATGCATCGAGTTCCATGAGCCTTAGAGTCACAGCGGCAGTTGTAGATGGCACCCATGGAAGCACAGGTATCCTTTCACCACCAATGATATCATTAGGATGACATTCAGAAGAACAAACAGAACCAAACAGCTCACTGGTAGTTTCATAGTCTGAAGCCAAATACTCCCTTTTTATAGCACATTCCAATGCAGTCAATGTCTAAGAACAGTAGTAACAAGGTAAACAAGTAAATAGAAGCTATACACAATCCACTAACGTCAAGGAAGAAATAAAGGAGAGCATACAAGAAAACATATTATGGTGAATGAAACCTACACATTAAATTTTAAAATGTTCAGACTAACACCATACTATGAACTAGGCGTATGCCCAATTACACATCTAGTAGGTTAAAAAAATGTCTTTCCATAAAAGGATTAAAAATATTGAGGTCAAATGTTCTGTGATGCAAATTCAAGGCTTTGCCAGTCTGTTCATCAATTAGCTGCCATCTTCACGAAATTGTTACAAGGTCATAGAATAGCAAACATATGTAATGAATTGGATGCATGTGACATATAGCTCTATTAGAGTTATATCTTAGAATATGAATAATCAGCACTATAGAATAATTAAGTCCAGCCTTAATTTAATAGAATAAGAAAAGTCTTCCTTAATTGTAGAGCTTGAATGATTCAACTCTTGAATGTTCATCTCCTCTTGTATAAATAGAGCATAATGCTCCTTTCCAATTAAGCAATAACAGAATTTGTTTCTCTCTTTTCTCTTTTAGCTTTTTCTCTCTTCTCTCTCATATCTCACTCTAATATGGTATCAGAGCTTCGGTTCTATCCATGGCAGCGATTCCAGTAACTACAGCTCCGGCCACCCCAACATCTATGTCCTTCCAACTCAAAATCACAGAAAAACTTGATGAGAAGAATTTCCTACTTTGGCGCCAACAAGTAGATCCTTTCGTTAACGCGAACAATCTTCAAAACTACCTTTACCTTCGTGACATACCGAATCAATACCTGACTGATGAAGATCGTGTCGCTGCTCGTGAGAACCCTGCGTATCGCACCTGGATTACGCAAGATCAGTGGCTTATGACGTGGCTTCAATCCACGCTTTCACCTTCAATTCTTTCACGTGTTCTTGGATGCGTTCATTCCTACGAGCTCTGGGAACGTATTCTTGCGCATTTTCAAAAGCTTACACGTGCGAAAGCAAGACAACTACGAGCGGAACTCAGATCTACAACACTTGAAGACAAATCTGTTGGTGATTATCTGGTTCGCATCAAAGCTCTTGTTGACGCGCTTGCTTCAGTAGGAGATCCAGTTCCAGATCAGCAACACATTGATGTGATTCTTGAAGGTCTTCCTCAAGACTTTGCCTCTGTTATTTCAGTTATTGAAAGCAAGTTTGATTCAGTAGAACTTGAAGAAGTTGAAGCTCTTCTTCTTGCTCATGAGATGAGATACAACAAGTATAAGAAACACTCACAAATGGAGGTGGCTGCCTCAGTGAATCTCACTCAAGCCAATTCTCAACCTGAAACTGATAACTCGAATAACAAGAACAATGAACAAGCTGTGAATTCAACCTTTAATCCAACCTATTCAAGAGGAGGCCGTGCAGCTGGCCGTGGTGGTGGACGCGGCCGTGGGAGAGGTAGGTTCAGCAACATTCAATGTCAAGTTTGCTTCAAATATGGTCATCTTGCTGCTAACTGCTATCATAGGTTCAATCAACAATTTCAACCTAACATACCTGCTGATTTTCAAACAATGAACCTACAAAATTTCTATCCGTATCAACCAATTGGTGGACCTCAGTTTGCTCAGCCCATGGTTAACACTCGGTCACGCCCAAGCTATCAACCAAGACTTGCCCCTCTCCCTGTTCCTCAGTCACATATCACTCCCAATGCTATGATTGCTAACACAACTTCAGTTCCAAGCAGTGCCTGGTTCCCAGACTCAGGAGCTTCTTATCATGTTACCAATGCCTCTCAAAACATACAGCAAACCACACCTTTTGAAGGTCCTGATCAGATCTTCATTGGTAACGGTCAAGGTTTGCACATTCACTCTTCAGGCTCTTCTTATTTTCCTTCTCATTCTAAACCTAACACTCCATTAGCTCTTCATAATTTACTGCTTGTTCCTTCTATTACAAAGAACCTGATAAGTGTCAGCAAATTCTGTCTTGATAATAGAGTTTTCTTTGAGTTTCATGCTGATATGTGCTATGTCAAATCTCAGGCTACCAATGAAATTCTGCTCCAAGGTCGTGTAGGAAGTGATGGCCTGTACCAATTTTCCCATCTTCAGCTTCTTAAGTCTCCTTCAACAAGTCAAGTCTCATGTCTCACCTTAGACTCTAATGCTCATGTTTCAAGATCTGATTCCAGCACTAGTGATAGGGTTTCAGTTTCTAATCAAAATGTATCAGCTAATAACTCATATAATTCTCAACATACTTGGCATTTACGCCTTGGTCATCCAAATTCTAATACTATGAGACTTGTTTTAGCTCAATGTAATATTCCTTATTCTAATAAAGCTGAATCTATCTTTTGTTCTGCCTGCTGTATGGGAAAGGCACATAGGCTGCACTCCCCTCAGTCACAAACTCAATATCACTCTCCTCTTGAATTAATTTTCAGTGACCTATGGGGTCCTGCCCCAGTCAAATCCTCCCAAAACTTTACCTACTACATCACCTTTGTTGATGCATACACCAGATTTACTTGGATCTATTTGCTCAAAAATAAATCTGAAGCCTTAACTATCTTTAAACAATTCAAAGTCATGGCTGAATTACAATTTGGATTTCCTATTAAATCTGTCCAAACTGATTGGGGTGGTGAATTTCGCCCATTTACAAAGTTTCTTTCTGATCTTGGCATTATTCATCGCCTAGTTTGCCCTCACACTCATCACCAAAATGGTGTAGTGGAGAGGAAGCATAGACACGTTGTTGATCTTGGTTTAACCCTCTTGAGTCATGCCTCTTTACCTCTCAAATTTTGGGACCATGCCTTTTTAACCGCTGTCTACCTAATAAATAGGTTACCAACCATGTCTCTCAATCAACATATACCATATGCTGTCCTTTTCAATCAAAATCCTGACTATAAATTCCTTAAAGTCTTTGGGTGTGCTTGTTTTCCTCTCCTTCGCCCATACAACTCTCAAAAATTTGACTTTAGATCCCACGAGTGCCTTTTTCTAGGGTACTCTACAGCTCACAAAGGTTACAAATGTCTCTCTCCAAGTGGTAGAATATTCATCTCTAAAGATGTTCTTTTCAACGAGTCCAAATTTCCTTACAATGATCTTTTTTCCTCTAATGTTTCTCTCCCCTCATCAACCATTCCATCCTCCTCCTCATCTAAAGTAACCCTTAACACACAAGCTCTCCCTCATGTTTTTCCCGTTCCTACTGCTTCCACTACCTCACACTCCTCTTCTTCTTCTCAATCCAATTCCAGCCCCACACCTATTGTCTCACACTCCTCTTCTTCTTCTCAATCCAATTCCAGCCCCACACCTATTGTCTCACACTCCTCTTCTTCTTCCCAATCCAATTCCAGCCCCACACCTACTGCCTCTGGGTCAGCAACCCCTATAACACAAACAGCCAGCACTAATCCTACTCCTTCACCCTCTTCAAATGCCAACAATCAGCCTACTACTACCACTTCACTATCCTCCTCCTCTATTTATGCTCCTAGGGATCCTAACCTCCAGCCTCTCCCCACCAATACTCATCCTATGACTACTAGAACTAAATCTGGTGTACCCTTACCTCGTCTAAATCCTTCCATTTTTCTTGTCAATTCTGAGCCTAAGAGTGTTAAAACTGCTCTCCAAGATCCTAAGTGGTTTGCTGCTATGCAAGAGGAGTATGGTGCCTTGATAAGGAACAACACTTGGTCTTTGGTACCACTGCCTGCTAACAGGAAAGCAATAGGCTGCAAGTGGGTTTTTCGTGTAAAGGAAAATGCTGATGGGACAGTAAATAAGTACAAAGCTAGGCTTGTTGCTAAGGGGTTCCATCAAGTCCATGGATTTGACTTTAATGAAACTTTCTCCCCTGTTATTAAACCGGTCACAATTAGAATTATTTTGACTCTTGCTCTAACTTACAATTGGCCTTTGCAGCAGTTGGACATAAACAATGCCTTTTTGAATGGCATTCTTGAAGAGGAGGTCTATATGATGCAACCCCCTGGATTTACTGCCCCTAATTCATCTCTGGTTTGTCACTTGCACAAGGCCTTGTATGGCCTAAAACAAGCCCCGAGGCAATGGTTTGAAAGACTCAAAACCACTCTTTTATCCTTTGGCTTTCTAAACAGCAAGTGTGATACTTCACTTTTCATCTACAAGCATCACAATGCTGTCATTTATATGCTGGTTTATGTTGATGATATAATCATCACAGGAAACTCCCCTCCTCTCATCAAGCAAGTTACTCAACAATTAAATCATGTGTTTGCTCTCAAACAACTTGGTGACTTGGATTATTTTTTGGGCCTTGAGGTGAAGAAATTGTCCAATGGAAATCTCCTTCTCACTCAATCTAAGTACCTAAGGGACTTGCTAATCAAAACTGATATGGAGAATTCCAATCCAGTTGCTACTCCTATGGCTTCCTCCACCAAACTCATCAAAACAGGGTCTGCTGCCTTGTCTGATGCCTCCCACTACCGGTCCATTGTAGGGGCCCTGCAGTATGCAACAATTACACGGCCAGAAATCTGCTATGCTGTTAACAAAGTATGTCAATTCATGGCACACCCCTTGGAGTCCCATTGGCTAGCTGTCAAGCGTATTCTGCGCTACCTAAAAGGAACTATCACCTCTGGTTTATTGTTCACTCCAGCCTCCACTGTTCCGTTCTCTCTGCAAGCCTATTGTGATGCTGACTGGGCTGCTGACCCAGATGATAGAAGATCCACCTCTGGGTCAGCTGTGTACTTAGGCCCTAATTTGATCTCTTGGTGGTCCAAAAAGCAAACTGTTGTTGCTCGTTCTAGTGCTGAGGCAGAGTATCGCAGCTTGGCTCACACCACAGCTGAAGTTTTATGGGTTCAAACTTTGCTAGCTGAACTAAAAATTCCCTTGACAACTCCAACCATCTATTGTGACAACCAGAGCACAGTTGCTATGGCTCATAACCCTGTTCTTCATGCAAGAACAAAGCATATGGAAATTGACCTCTTTTTTGTAAGAGAAAAGGTGATTAATAAGTCTCTCACTGTCTGCCACATTCCTGGTGTTGACCAGAAGGCTGACATCCTCACCAAGCCTCTCTCATGTTCAAGATTTATGGAGCTCAGCAGCAAGCTCAACCTGTCTGCCTCAAGTCAGCCTTTGCAGCCACCTTGAGCTTGTGGGGGAGTATTAGAGTTATATCTTAGAATATGAATAATCAGCACTATAGAATAATTAAGTCCAGCCTTAATTTAATAGAATAAGAAAAGTCTTCCTTAATTGTAGAGCTTGAATGATTCAACTCTTGAATGTTCATCTCCTCTTGTATAAATAGAGCATAATGCTCCTTTCCAATTAAGCAATAACAGAATCTGTTTCTCTCTTTTCTCTTTTAGCTTTTTCTCTCTTCTCTCTCATATCTCACTCTAATAAGCTCCAAAATGAGGAGTGTTGATTGTTCCATATTCATTATTTATTTCCATATCTTTGATCTTTTCTAAATCCTTAAGTTTTGGAGATTCCTTTTTATACAGAGCTAGTGTGAGTGTAACATCAATTAAATTATAATTCATTAATTACGACTTTATCAACCATAATAATGACCCCAGGTTTCTTTAGTCTTAATCATCCAAAACAAAGGACAAATTTGAGCTTGAGCAGTTTTGTAACAACCATAACATTGGCCAAAACAAGAGCGCATTTAAACTAATAATAATTAACAACAAGCTAGAAGTTCCAAATTATGAGCATGCTCTATCAAAACATGCCAGATTACATACAACCTGCATAATGTCTTCAGTTGATGAGGAAGCTTCCAGCTTTGAACTCCAAGACTTCCTGTACCTCTCTGTCCAAAAAGGTTTAAGAGCTTCTTGAGGAAGAGTTGCCTGCGATACAGAGCCAAACACTATCAGTGGAAAAAAAACATAACAACTTTATCTGAACAACATATTAGCATCCTCTCATGTGCAATTTAACAAAGACCGTGCCATGTCAACACATCTCAACCATGTATTTTTTATAATAAATAATCAGTTTAAAATTAAAATGCAAATTGAGTGGGTAGTTTTCACTTTTGTTTCCTCTCTCCCTGTTCTTTCTTGGACTGTAGATTACTCCTTCCTAAAGCTATAGTAGTGATTCATGTGTTTTCTTCTATAATTTTCATGATGGTTATATGTTTTCTGCTACTAGCAAGCCACTACAATTGCAAGCATTCTTTTAACTCCTCCAAGTCCAAAGTAAATATTTTATTAACTTTGACAATGAGAGCTCAAACAAAGACATGGGAGGGAGAGGGAAGCCAGGTACAGGGGATGTGAGTGACTAGATCTGTAGATGGAATCAGAAAACTACCACCAAATTTGTAATTTATGCCATTGAACTATTTTTAAAAAATAGAAAAATGTCAAATATAAGATGACATAGTCGTGTTAAATCACCACATGAGAGGATCCCAACCCTCCAAAAAAAATTTATATCTATAACTACTCCATATATCATAGTGACAGTAAAATACAAAGATTGTCACCTCAACAACTGACAAGAGGATTTTGAGCAATCTCATCCTCAATGGAGAAGAAGATGAATCAAGAAAAAGATTAGTGTCGATCTTTATTTTGTCGTCGGAACGAGCAATATGTTCATAAGAACTAGAGTTGCCCTGACTAGTACTGAAAGTTCTATGGCATGAAGAACATGGTGTTCCTCTACAGAAATAGACATGATGGCACAAATCACACATGAGAAGTAGTTCTTTGCACCTTTTCTTCCCAAACTTCATTGCACATGATACTGAGCTATTTAGACATTCCTTTCGCATCCATTTCTCAAATTCCCAATATCTCATATAAGCATCTTTGTCTTCAACTTCATTTCTCCCAAGCTGAACCGTAAAAGATGTTGAGGCCACTGATGTGTTCAAAACATCCATGCAGACAGAAGTAGGGCAGTAAATATTAATACTGCAATCGTGGTGTGTGACCATTTTAACTGCTTCTGTCTTGAGTTTTTTGACAGTGTCTCCATTTTGCTTTTTCAAGTCATTTTGGACACTTCTTCTAACAGATTCTTTGAAGGACGTCTCAATTCTTTGCAGCATCATATGCAAGTGGGACTCCCTGATTCCACGCACATCCAATGATGCCAATAGAGCATCAAAACCCTGGATGTAAAACAAATGCAATGAAGAAAACCAATCAAAAACAGAATGATACCTAGGATAATCCAGAATAGTATCTAGGGTAATCCAGAACGTACAACTACAACAGACAAACTACTTCCTCTGTCTCATATTAAGTGTCCTCCTTCAAATATTTGCTTGTCTGGTATTATTTATTATTTCAGAATACAAGTGAAGCATTAATTTTTTCCACCGATGCCATTATTTATTGTATCTCAACCCACCTAGTTACTTTAATAATAAGATTATTTTAGTCAACCAAGCTCAGTTTATATGGCAATTAGAATACTAAATAACTTAAAAGTGTGCATAACCTTACACTAAGAGACCAAGAGCAGCATGTAAAAGCATAATAGCGTTTGATAAGAGCCAAACAAAATGGAACAGAAATGAAAAGATGAAAACTGAAATTTATGTAGATAATGTTGGAATATTACAACTGAAATTTCTGTAGATAATTTTGGAATATTACAACACAGGTTTTCGAGAGCCTGTGTCTCCTAATTTAAATTCTTCCTAATTTTCCAGAATCCTTTCCTAATTCTGATTTGCTTCTATTTATACTGCATTAACATCTGTTCCTAATTGGCACAATTAATCTGAAGGGTTGTGACCGTTAGATTTCATGTTGTTTGGTTCCAAGGGTTGCATCCTTTCGGGTGGGTGTGTCTGTTCACCAAGGGTCACGCCCCCTGATTCATATCTCTTAACCCTGCACTCATTGGGCATCGCTGCCTGCGGGTGTAAAACTTGGTGATGGGTGGCCTAGGCTTATCATACCCCCGCCTAAAAGACTCACCTTGTCCTCAAGGTGATAATCTGGGAAGACGTCTTGTAATTTTGCCACAGATTCCGAATTATTTTCACTTGTAGGAAGATTCTGCCACTTAACTAAGACTTCCACGTTGCCAGGTTGTACTTCACGAATATCTAAAAGAGTCCGGATAAACCTATAATTCCTGTTCCTCAGATAGCATAATTGATACCCTTCTAGAGCCACCATAATTGCTTGGATTTTCTCTTCTTCTAGGATGTCTCTCATCTGAAAGAAGTGTTCCAATTTATTTATCCAGCCATAAGCATCAGATTCTCCATCATATATGGGGATTGCCAATTTTCTCCATCGTCCTGTTTTTCTTTCTCCGCTGTGGACCTTGGTTGAATGTTCTCCATTGATGGAACCTTTGGGTGTGCCATCTTCTAAATGCTTGGACAAATTTTCCACCATGGCTTCTAGGCGTGCAAAGCGTGTTTCAAATTGTTGTCGTTCTGCATCTCGGTTTTGTCGGTCCGCCATCAACATTTCCAAAATTCTCTCCATTGTGTCTGGATTTTCGGAATTAGATCGAGTTGTCACCATAGTTGAAAGCAAAGCACCTGGACGGTGCTCTGATACCGATTGATAAGAGCCAAACAAAATGGAACAGAAATGAAAAGATGAAAACTGAAATTTATGTAGATAATTTTGGAATGTTACAACTGAAATTTATGTAGATAATTTTGGAATATTACAACACAGGTTTTCAAGAGCCTGTCTCTCCCAATTTAAATTCTTCCTAATTTTTCCAGAATCCTTTCCTAATTCTGGTTTGCTTTTATTTATACTGCATTTAACATCTGTTCCTAATTGGCACAATAAATCTGAAGGGTTGTGACTGTTAGATTTCATGTTGTTTAGTTCCAAGGGTTGCATCCTTTCGGGTGGGTGTGTCTGTTCACCAAGGGTCACGCCCCCTGATTCACATCTCTTAACCCTAGGCTCCTTGGACATCGCTGCCTGCGGCGGGTGTAAAACTTGGTGATGGGTGGCCTAGGCTTATCAGCGTTCATGAGAATGAAGGGGGCCAAGGTATCAAGTTTAGAGTTGTTGTTCACTGACATGAAGGTTGTGGGCTCTTGTGAAAACAAAGTGTTGCAAATGCAAGGTGAGGCTGCCCACAATAGTTTTATAATGGGTCCAACACTTCTTTGGACCCTGTCATGGCAGGAGCGTTGTAGAACCTGGAAGCATTCATGAATCATGATAATAATACTTGATATTTAATGCTAACGGATGCTAAATAATCTGCTAAGCGATGCTTGGTTAAGTATAGACTTAACATAATAGGTGCTAATAAGAAAATAGACAATAATAACACTTGGAAATCATATCATAAATCAAAGATCATTAAAGATCAGTTCAGCTTCGTAGAAGTAATACCTCTTCAGAATCAATCAGCTTCCAACAGCCATCATACAATTCCACAAAAATCCTGCCACAACCTGGATCGCTTATAGAAGCAGAAGTAATGAATTGCCAGTATCTGTTTCGTCTTCGATCCAAACCAAGAGGCAATGATCTATACATGAAAGTTTGTTCCCTCAATTGACCAATATATGATTTAAAACTCGACATTGATTTTTCAGCAGCATAAATAGATTGTTGGAGAGAATAATTATCTGGGCCAGTGGAACAATCTTGCCTCTGCATGTTCGCTTCTAACGAATTCTGCAGAAGATTTTGATTTTCCTGCAGTGAAGTTATCTGTTCATGCTGGTCACAGGGAGTGAGTAAAGCCTTCTCATTTTCGGCATCAACAGTATGCACTGGGCACTCTTTGCTCGCTACTGATGGAAATGTAACAGCTGGTTCTCTCTTGTTTCCCAAATTTGAGAAAGATGAAATTTTAACAAAATAATCCTCCTTAATACGTCGTTTATCAAGTTGTGCCTCAGCCCATATCTGCTTCTTTAAAGCATTTGCAGCTTCTAGACGTTCCTGCAACATTGCTCATAAACAACACAGACAGAGACACACAAAAATCATTTTTAAGGACACGCACAAATCAATAATGAGAAATTAAGGCATGAAACTAAAAGAAAATACCTCAAGTACAACACGAATAGAATTCCCTTCAATTGCCACAGTAATCAAAGCAACAAGAGCGTGAAGACGCTCCTCTACACTGAGATCTGAATACTCTCCCTCCATAAGCCCTTGTACCCATGGTTCACCAAGAGTGCTTTCATCAACATCTATGCCTTTTAGAATAGAATCAGCAACACCATTAATTTCACTAGATCTACGTTCATCTTTCTGTTCGTTGAAGCCTCCATCAGCAGTTGATCCTAACCCCTCATGCACTTTCTCATGACAACTATCAGGAGTTTGCAAAACCTCACCATTGTCCTTCCCACTTCTCACAATAGTGTTTGCAGTAAATTCCTCATGAATTGAGACCTTCTTTTTCATATTTGTTAGAACTCTTAATTTATAATTATCATGATCTTTTGCCACATCAGTTTCACAATCTTCATCCCTTTCACCATCAACTTCTTCTGCAACCACGAATCCACTTTTGAATATCCTGATTCTTTCCCTGGCAGCTGAATAAATTACTTCAGAATCAGCTGGGTCCTTTCTGTATGCAGGACGTACACAATATGTTGAAGGAGCTGTCTTTTCAAATAGTTCTGTATCCCTAGACAACGCAGAAGATATAGAAGCCTCTGGTGTCTTGCTAGTTGTAAGATCACGGAGTCCAGATTTCTAAATAACAAAAAGAATCAAATGAGAAAATTTAACAGGTATCATGAAACAATGAATAAATAAGACACGGAAAGAATAGTTAAACCTGAATCTTGTCTGCAACTTCCAATATATTGAGGCCTCTGCTTCCTTCCAAAGAAAGGACATGAAATGCAGCATATTTAACAGTTCCAGGCGTCAAACGATGTTTATTTCTTCTTGGATTAGATAAACACTTCTCTTGCATAATAGCAACAGCATTTTCAACAGCAGCTCCATTTCGAAGATTAGAAATTATATCTTTACCATCATTACCCTGCACTTGTAACCCAGAAGGAGATAGAGAAAAATGACCACAACCAAACCAAACCAAAAATTAAAATCACAATTTGTTAATTAAATGTCTAAAAATCATTTTCTGTTCAAAATTTCATGTATCACTCATCTGAAAAAGTCGTATTCTCACAATTTCATTGCTTGTGAGAGGGAGGAGGATGAGTGATTTGGACCCTATTTCCTCCAACCTCCCTTTTAAAAAAAAAAATTAATTAAAAACCATTCCTTTTTATTGTTTTATGTTGCACTTCTCTTGTTGTTTTTCTAGGTCTTCCTCTATCTCTCGTTATTTCTAGTTATTTGAGTACCCTCTATCTCATATATTCTCCTTACTACAAAATACAAAATCCTTCTCTCTACACACCTAAGCCACCTAAATCTATTTTCCAACATCTTGCCTTATATGCTATTAAAGGTGCTACCCTAACACTCTTTAATATTGTCATTTCTAAACTTATCTCGCCAAGTATTACCACACATCCAACGCAACATCCTCATATCTGCTACACTTAACTTATTTTCGTGTTAGTTCTTTACAGCCCAACATTTTATCCTTTATAACATCGCCGGTTTTACGGTTGCCCGATAAAACTTTTGAGCGGTACTTTTGTGTCACATAAAACACCCGAGGCCCTCCTCCATTTCAACCACTCGGCCTGAATTTGATGTTTTACGTCTCCTTCTACTTCTCCATTGTTTTGTAAAACCCCTGATGCACCTTTTAATGCAAGTTTGCTTTAATGCAACAGTTGTATATGATGATTTTTCATTATGAAATTCCCAGAATGCAACCTCTGAAGTAAAATAAGTAGCTATTGCAGCTAGCTACTAGAATTGATGACAACAGAGTTCCAATTGAAACAATTAGTGATGAATGGAGTACATAGAAATTACCTCATGGTTGCTAGGATGCACTGGCTCAATATTCTGTTTCTTTAATTGAGGCCCAAATCCAGCTGACAATGCAAATTGTCGCAAAATCTCTGGCCATGTTAATGGATTTAAATGCCGCTGCCAATTTCTTATATCAAAACCCCATGCATATGCCTGACAGTATATATCAAATAGGATTTTTCAGTTTAAGGTAAAAAGAACGGAAGTATATTGGAAGCTGAAAATTGAAAAAAGAAAACTTACCCCTTCAACTACCTGTGGATGCCCCCCACCAGAGTTCGTAACACTACTTTGGTTAGCTCCTAATCCAGTGGTGGGTGTTCTTGCAACATCTTCAATATCTTTTATAATGGATCTCAGTAGAGCGATATGGATCTCACCTAACATCCTCGGGTCCTGCAACATTGAGAGAAAATATTAATCCGTTGTAGAGAAAGAACACTGTTAGCAAGTATCTATGTTCAGGGAACCGGGTATCGTGCAAATATATTAATTAGGAAAATTGCCTCCTAGTATTCATTATATAAATATTGAACCCTTGGTTTGGACAAGCACACGCTAAGCAATAATTTTAGGACAAACAATACCTTGGATAGGGACCTTAAAGGGAGGACTAACCTAGGGATTAGAAAGGAATACTTACATAATCATGAAAAGCTTGTATAAGCTCATCCAATGTAAATGGCCATATTTCAAGAACATCAGCAAAGGTAATCAAGAACTTCCAAACCTACATATAAAGCATTTATGTTCATCATAGCTGAGAGAAACTTTCGTAAGCCATAGATGGTAACAAATGCAATAAAAGTTTATACTTCAAACAATCTGGTACAGCTTAATTGTTTGAAGCCACGATAATAAAAACAAAGCATAATTACAGCCAAACCCAAGTATTTGTTTGACGGCCTGGTGGGGATTAGAGAACACAATAAAAAATAACTTAATTTCTAAAGTGGCGACTGGTTTAATAACAATACATTTCACTAAAAATCAAGACCAAGCAGAAAATAAAGTGAGCCATTTGGCACAAGATAATGCAAAATCAGCAATATATTTGAACCATAAACCATAACTAGGGATATAAGGAACTAACGGATCGTAATTTATTGTTATACATGAGTGAAGGAAGATAGCTTTTCATAACTTTATATAGCCTCTTGGCCTTTCAGGCAGTTATAAAATCAATGTCTGAGTCAATTCCATTTACCAGTCAGTAAGGTTTTCCAAAAAAACACATAAATGGGTAAAACCTCTTACCATCAGAAGATTTCCCACATTCTCGTCAGAATCAGACCAAGGTGGAATTGAAAAAGCTCTTTTCAACTGTACAGACTTGGGTGGGAAGGAAGTACGCCCATCTGAAAAACCAGTGCACGTTTGGTTTCGATCCATGTTCTAGGAAATCACTTTTTAAGTATATATGAGTATAACTATTTCAGATTAGAAACATTCAAATTGAAGCGTTCATAATAAAGATATACAGAACCATAACAAATTTTGGCAGATCGATTTAATCTAAGGGGCAGCAATTGTGATGATTTTGTCATTAATTTAGAAAGTAACACGTATGGAAATGGTAATTAGAAAAGGTACCATTTGTACAAAAGCTAGACTTTAATATTTGAATTGTTATCTTCCCAACAACGTGTACACAAAATGGTTCAAGGAAAATAAATTGTTTAATACAAAAGTACATGCATGAGATAATCAGCTTAAGCCCAATTCAAGCTTAAGTTGCCTTGTGACCTAGTAGTCAATGGTTCTAGGGGGAAACAACCTCACTGCTCCCAATGGCAAGGCCCAGTAAAACTCAACCTCCCCAAATCCCACAATGGTAGGAGACTTGAGAACTTTGTCACCCTTTTTCTTTAGGTATTAAGGAGTACAGTAAATGAAATGAAACCAGTTATAATAAAATGAAATCTGTTTTTTTGTGGAAACGGAGTGAGAAAGGAGGAGGGGCGGAGCGGAAGCAGAGGAGGAGCAGCGTGGAAGCAGAGGAGGAGCAGTGTATTGACTAAGGGCAAGCAAAAAGAAATGACAAGAGAGAAGGAGTCGCGTATTCTGAAGTAGGGCTTTCCAACGTCACAATTTTTTGGGTAAAAAAGTATTTTCTCACAGAAAACAGAAAACAAATTGAAAACCCGCTCCAGGCCAGAAAATGCTCCGCTCCCGCGACCCGCTATCCCCTAAATTGCGGCCGCGATCTCAAATTGAGACGTGAACCGCTTCTCCATAGCGGAGTGTCGCTGCTCCAGGACGCTATTGATAACTCTGATTTCTACTCGGACTGATATGGGCCCGTTGGTTTTAGATTCTTTGAAAATCATTTCTGATATAAATAATTTAGAGATTATTCTTTAGATACTACTTTAAAAAAAAGTATAAAACGTGGTTGAAATACATTCAAGTTGAAAATTATGCATGTTAAAATAGCTTTTCATTAATATGGTTGAAAAAACACAAACATAACTGGAACATCAAAAATGATTTTTAAAATTTTTTAAAACAAACGGAATCATTAGTTTCTTTTAATAGATTCTGGCATAACAGAGTTATAAACGAATCTCTCAGCTGCCTGATCTGTCTGACTCGCAGCAGAGCTGCTAGCAATATAAATATGCAATTTACACTCTATTCAAATTGGTTATAATGACATTCAGATATCAGAATATAAATGACTTCATTCCCACACATACAGATTTCACTCTCGCTATCCGTTTCTTTCACTTTCGATCATTTTCTATCACTCTCTTAACAAAGTTAACAATTGACGAACTGCAAAAATTTTGGGAAATTTGTGGAATATTTTCTATATTTAAAATATTTTTCTATTTATTTCAGAATAATTATTTTCTATTGTTACTATTCACGTCATTTAAGGAAATAATTAGGTTGTAATATCCCTACAAATACCAACTAATGCTGAAGAATAAAATTACAACATTTACCTATTTTCTTCTAATAAAACTGATAGATGGTTCCTATCGTAAACACAAATGAGCAGAAAATTAAGTAGAGTAAAATACTAAAATTACTCACCTCCATATGATTCAAGATTTTGAATAGTTTCGTAGTCAAGAGCCAGTGTTGAAGATAGCCCCTTCTTTGATGCAGCTAATTTCATGAGTTCTAGACGTTCATCTTCAATAAGGTCTATTGCATCTTTGACCATTCTGCGGGCAATAGCTCTCTCCCTTCCAGCTTTAATCCTTGCCTCATCCTTCACCCTCTGTAGTTCTTCCTTCTGTCTCAGTTTCTCAGCCTACAAGAACAAAGAGCATAAGCATCTCTTATTTCCACATGACAGATCAGAGTGATTGGCAATTTGGCAGAACAATCTTACATACTCTGATTGATTCCTTCTGCAAAAACTTTTCCTGTCGCTCTTGCTCGCGCTTCTGTTCTCTAAGGTACCTTTCCTTTTCCTTCTGCCTTTCACGTTCTTGCCTCTCCATCTCTTTCTTTATTTGCTCCTCTCTCTTTATGTACGGAAAAACAATATAAGCAACAGAATAAATATAATCATCAAGGAGAGAAATAATAAATGGAGGCCAACTCTGCCCAGTACCTTTTGCCTTAGAATATCCTGTTTTACAAGTTCCTTTCTAATTCTTTTCTCTTGCACTTCAAGTTCCCGTTGCAATCTAGCCTCTTCATTCTGAAAATAAGACAAGCCATGAACAGCCACTCTATAGTGATAACACAGGTTGGTGTTATGTGATGCAGATACCTTTCGCTTCCTTTGAAAGCTTGAAAGTTCCTCCTCATGGATAATCGTCCTATCAGATAGCACTAGAGGGGTGTTAATCAGAGTTACTTGGTGAGCCACCCTTTGAGTGTCAAGAGATACATCAACAAATGGGTTCTTTTGTGGAACATCATCATTCCCTCCTGAAGCAAAAAGCATGAGATGATTTGGCCTACCTTGCTGAGACTCAGACAAAAGATTTAGACCAGGCATCTTCTGACCTTGGACTCCGTACACCTTAGGTGCATATTCATTCCCGTTAAGGAAAGACAGCTCACTAGAATGTGGAACACCATCAAGAGAACTAAAATGAACAGATGTAGTATCTCTTTCATATATCTCATTTCTAACAGTTGGCTGCTCTGGAATAAATTGATATTCATGGAGAGTCCTTGAAATGCCCTAGAAATTGAACTTCTTCAGCTAAAAGATAAAGATGCATATAAAAAAAATATTTGTTCACCCATGATAAAGTATATAACTACAACAAAGGGAATAACAATCAAATATACAGATAAAACATAATATTTAAATATTCAATTGATATAGTTGAAATTAACAACTTACAAACTGTGCTAAATTACTCAACAGATTTCTTTGTACAAGTACATTATCCAACAGATTTCTTTAAAACTATGCAATGGTAGAGTAAGGAGTAAAAAAAGAGAGCAGAAATCTAACCTTATCCAGATGTTCATAAACTTCTGCCTCAGCAGGCCATTCAGATTGGCTGTTTTGCCCCAATGCCACTGCCCCTGGAATTATATAATTGGCAACTTTAAGGGCCCAATAGCATTAGTACTTAAGTTAAAGTCATGCCAACTTTAAGGGTCAATTTGCTTGTGCTTTTAAAGACAAGCTATTTCACTAAAAAAATTGTTTATATTTTTTATGATATTAAGAAGATTTTTTAGGAAAAAAACTGTTAAAGAGATATATCATAAGAGGGTTTTTTTTTTAAGTTTATCAAAAACACCTTAAATCTTTCAAGAGCTCAAAAAGAAGGAATTTATTGGCATCGATAATGAGATTTTAACTGATAAACTTTTAAAAAGAAAAAAACACAAATTGATCAGACTTCTCTCATGCAGAATTTGACTAAAAAAATTCTAAGCACCCTTCCTTCCCAAAATCACTTCCAAAACTTTCAAGATTTATTTTTATTTTTATTTTTTTTAATACGAAGCCATTAAGTTTAGATTTATCTTTATTTAAGTAAGGTTATTCTCCTATAGTAATTGATAACGTTGCGTTAGGAAGTTATTAGAGAGATAAGTACATAATCAACAGATTCTATATTATACAACTCAACATAATATTCATTGTAAATAATAATTAGTAATTAGCTATTAAGAATTAGTAATTAGTTGTCTTCTACCATATTTAAAATTAGCATTTAGATTTAGCATTTAAAGTGATTTGTCCCTTGTATTCTATAACTACCTTTCATGTATTACTAAAAAAATCAAAGAAATACAGATTGTTTGTTACTTTATGGTATTAGAGCACCCATAGGGGCTCTACTTCCGCGCTCAAAACACTTGTCGTTTTTATTACGGCCCTTTTTTCTTGGTCAAGGTTCCCTTTCTCTTGGAACCCTTGTGATCTCGGTGACTTTGCGGCCATCGTGCACCGCTCAACTGTCGTTGCAGATCTAGACGGTTTCACCTTCATTGTTGTTTTCAGAACATCCTTCATTGGTGTACCTCTGTTTCTTGCTGATTGCAACCCTTGATTGTTTGGTTGTCATCTTTGTTGGAGTTTCTCATTGACAGCCTTTCGATCCTCTCCTAACAGTAGATCTCGACTCTCCTGGCTCGAGATGGTTTGTTTCTCTTTATGGACTCCTTAAGTAAGTTCTCTAACACTAGTTCTCTGACCATGACTGGTAAGAACTCTAGCTTCTTAGCTTTTAATGCCTCTTGTTCTAAAGATATCTGGATTATTGACTCTGGTGCAACTGATCACATGACCCCATATATTGACTCCGGTGCAACTTATTCACCTTTACCTAATAAACGCCATATTACCGTTGCAAATGGGTCCCAAACCCCGATTGTCAGATTTGGTAACATCTGCCTAAGCCCATCTCTCCACCTAAATCATGTGCTTCATGTCCCTAGGCTTTCTAACAATCTTTTGTCCATCCATAAACTCACCAAGGACGTGAACTGAGTTGTAACCTTTTTTCATTCTCATTGTGTTTTTCAAGACCTTGCCACAGGGAAGACGATTGGAATTGCTAAGAAACAGAACGGGTTATATTATCTACCTCATAAGGAAAGCAAGTGTAATCAGGCTGGTTCAGAGTCATGGGCAAATACTCAAATATGGCTCCAACACAGGCGTCTTGGACATCCTCCTATCCGCATGCTCAAGTCTCTATTCCCTCACCTATTTACCAAAGTGTCTGTTGATTCCTTTCATTGTGATGTGTGCCAGTTTGCCAAATCCCATCGAACAACCTATTCCCCTGGTGATACTAGGAGTGTTGAACCCTTTGATCTTGTTTATTCTGATGTATGGGGGCCTTCATCCATTTCCAATATTTCTGGTGCAAAATGATATGTTACTTTTATTGATGACTGTACTCGGGTTACATGGGTTTTTCTTATGAAAGATAAATCTGAAGTGTGTCAATTGTTTGTTAACTTTTTTCAAATGGTTAAAACACAGATTCGGAAAACTATTAAAAGGTTACGGTCAGACAATGGTAAAGAGTATGTAAACCAAAATTTTCACAATTTTCTCAAAACTAATGGTGTTGTTCATGAGTTGACTTATGTTGACACTCCACAACAAAATGGGGTTGCTGAAAGGAAAAATCGCCATCTCCTTGAAATCACCCGAACATTACACTTTCAAAGAATGTTCCTAAATTTTATTGGGGGAAGTTGTCTTGACCTCTGCTTATTTAATCAATAGGTTACCTTCTAGGGTGTTATCTGGTGTTAGTCCGGTGCAGGTCCTGACTCGATTCTTTTCGTCCGTGCCCATTATGTCAAGTCTTCAGAATCGTGTCTTTGGTTGTTCTACCTTTGTCAATGTTCATGGTCCTCATCGGGGTAAGTTAGATCCTCGGGCTATTAAATGTATCTTCATAGGATATGCTTTAGATAAGAAGGGGTACAAGTGTTATCATCCTCCTAGTCGTCGTGTCTATATATCCATGGATGTTACTTTTCAAGAACCTGAGTCTTTTTATCCCAGTCCTCAACTTCAGGGGGAGAATAATCAAGAAGCTGAGTCTTCAGAGTTGTCTGTTATTCCTCTAATACAGGACCCAGAGTCGTCTCCTGAGTTGTCTGTTCTTCCTGTTATTAATGTAATACATAAGCCCTTGATGCCTAATGAGGATGGTGGTGATGTACCAATACCGGTGCATAATAATGTTGACAGATACAAGTTACAGTTCCAGCAAAAATGGTGGAAAGGTAAACCCGTTCTGCTCCCAACAAGTCCAATCGTCTGAACCTGAGGTAAGTGTTCCTAACCCTAAGCCTAGTAATTCTTGTGAGCCAACCCTTGATGACCTACCTATTGCTTTGAGAAAAGAAAAAAGGTCTTGTACCAAATACCTTATATCCCAATTTGTGTATACTGAAAAACTTTTTGTGCAGCATCAGAGTTTTATTTCAGCTATTGACTCTATTAGAGTCCCTGCATCAGTACAAGAAGCATTAAAGGATAAGAATTGGATTCAAGCCATGAATGAAGAGATGCATGCACTAGAGAAAAATGGGACGGGAGATTATTGAGAAGCCAAATGACAAGAGGCCAGTAGGCTGCAGGTGGATATATACGGTAAAATACCGATCCGACGGTACACTCGACAGATATAAGGCGAGGCTAGTTGCAAAGGGATACACCCAGACCTATAGAATTGATTATGAAGAGACATTTGCTCCAGTAGCAAAAATGAACACTGTAAGAATCACTTTCTTTGGCGGCTCACTTTGACTGGGAGTTGCAACAGTTTGATGTGACAAATGCTTTTTTGCATTTGTATATGGAGATCCCACCCGGATATGACCCTACTTCAGGAAGTAATAAGGTTTGCAGGTTAAAGAAGGCTATATATGGGCACAAGCAATCACCCCGAACTTGGTTTGGGAGGCTCACTCATGTTATGGTATCCTTGGGTTATAAACAAAGCCAAGGTGATCATACTCTCTTTATAAAGCAAGCTCAAAATGGTAAACTCACTCTTTTGTTAGCCTACATAGACGATATGATCATAGCAGGTAATGATGAATTTGAGAAGAACTTGAGGAAGGAGTTGGCAGCTCAGTTTGAAATGAAGGATATTGGACAGTTGAAATATTTCCTAGGTATGGAGGTAGCTTACTCGAAACAAGGCATTTTCATTTCTCAGACAAAATATGTCCTTGACCTTCTCAAAGATACTGGCAAGTTGGGTTGTAAACCCTCCAGAGTGCCTATAGAGCAAAACCACAAGATTAAGAGTGATGAGGAAAGCCCAAGGGTTGATAAAGCTCAATACCAAAGACTTGTGGGAAAGCTCATTTATCTATCTCACACCAGACCTAACATAGCTTATCCGGTTAGTGTTGTCAATCAATTCATGCATGACCCACAGGAGAGGCACTTATAGGCAGTGGATAGAATCTTGGAGTATCTAAAGATGAGCCCAGGAAGAGGACTACTGTTCAAGAAAAGCGAGCAGTTGTCTGTGGAGGTTTATATTGATGCGGATTATGCAGGGTCGATTGTTGACAGAAGATCCACCATTGGATATTGTATGTTCCTAGGTGGAAATTTAGTGACATGGAGGAGCAAGAAACAAAATGTAGTTGCCAGATCAAGTGCAGAGGCAGAGTTTAGAGCCATGGCTCAAGGAGTTTGTGAACTGTTGTGGATGAAGATCATTCTAGATGACTTGAAAATAAAGTATGAAGCTCCTATGAGACTTTTCTGCGATAATAAGTCAGCCATTAGTATTGCTCACAATCCGGTCCAACGCGACAGAACAAAACATATAGAGATAGACCGAGACTTCATCAAAGAGAAATTGGATAGTGGTCTTATTTCTACACAGTACGTCCCATCAGGACTTCAGTTAGCTGATGTGCTCACCAAAGGACTTCCCTTGGAGCGGTTTCGAGATCTTACTTGCAAGCTGGGGATGATAGATATCCATTCCCCAGCTTGAGGGAGAGTGTTGGGAGTTATTAGAGAGATAAGTACAAAATCAACAGATTTTGTGTTATATAATTCAGCATAATATTCATTGTAAATAATAATTAGTAATTAGCTATTAATAATTAGTAATTAGTTATCTTCTACCATATTTAGAATTAGCATTTAAAGTGATTTGTCCCTTGTATTCTATAAATACCTTTCATGTATTACTTACTATAATATCAAAGAAATACAGATTGTTTGTTTCTTTACTTTGAAATATATTAAAATATTTTTTTTAAATGGTATCACGAGCTGCTAATTTTGAAGGTCTTGCTTCCTCTTAAACCCTAGTCGTCGTCATTGCGGATTATTTTGTTCTCCTCTTAATCGCGGGTTGCATGAAATTTCGACGCATTGTTCACTATGAACGAACTGTTCATTCCGGCGACATTGTTCATGTCTCAGCACTGTTCATCTCGAAAGTATTGTTCATCCGCACCCATTGTTCATGTGTCGGTACTGTTAATTTTGACGCCATTGTTTCTTTTCTTGATGATTGTTTCCGAGTACCTTGAATTTTCTTGATGAATAATAAATCAGAAATATCACAATTATTTATTCAATTTATAGTGTGATACAAACACAATTTAGGAAAGGTATTAAAAGAATATGTTTTGACAATTAGGGGTTAGAGTAGGTCAGGCCAGACTTTAGAAGGCATGAGTCTGGCCTACGATAAATTTTTAAGGTCTGAATCTGGTTTATGGCCTTTTATAGGGGTTTTTTTGTCTGACCTGCCCTTTTTAAAAGTCTGATCTGACCTAAAAGCCTATTTAAAAACATGTTTCTCATTAAGACCTTCAAATAGTTCATTTTACTTATTTTTTAAATTGAAAACATAACCTTTTATATACTATTTAACCTTTTTTCTAATAGATATGCATATATAGGCTGGCCTATAAGACTTCATACGCTTTTTTAATAGCCTAAGCTTAACCTATTTAATTAAATAGGTTATTAAAAAAAAAATTAAATCTAGCCTTTTTATTAAATAGGTTAGGTCATGTCAAGCATATATAGGTCAGGTTATATGTCTTAGTAGGCCGGTCTGGCCTATTCTCATACTTACTCTCACAATCATAAAGAATTTGTGAATAATGATTTTTACAACTTCACCGGTTTTAAATTGAAAACACAACCTTTTATATACTATTTAACCTTTTTTCTAATAGATATGCATATATAGGCTGGCCTATAAGACTTCATAGGCTTTTTTAATAGCCTAAGCTTAACATATTTAATTAAATAGGTTATTAAAAAAAAACTTAAATCTAGCCTTTTTATTAAATAGGTTAGGTCATGTCAGGCATAAATAGGTCAGGTTGTATGTCTTAGTAGGCCGGTCTGGCCTATTCTCATACTTACTCTCACAATCATAAAGAATTTGTGAATAATGATTTTTACAACTTTACCGGTAAACAGGGTATCACCCATGAATTCCCATGTGTCAACACCCCATAACAAAATAGTGTCACAAAGAGAAAAAATTGTTACTTACTTGGAGCTCTTCTCTTCCTAACGTCTCTTCCAAAATCATATTGGGGTGAAGCAATTTTGACTGTTACTTATCTAATTAATCGTGTGTCATCTCGTATTATAAGTAATGTTAGTCCTGTTTGGTTCATAATCGCCCTTTTTCCTTATGCTTCTATGTTGCAGGTTATCGAATTTCGAGTATTTGGTTGTGTAACTTTTGTCCATGTCCATAAGCAACACCGAACTAGATTGGATTCATTTGCACTTATGTATCTTTGTGGGTTATCCTCTTAATAGAAAAGGGTACATATGTCATCATCCTCTCAGCCGTAAGTACTTTGTTTCTAAAGATGTCACATTTCACGAAAATATGTCTTACTTCACCAGTCCTCAGTCTTATAGGGTAAGTACTTTATTTCTAAAGATGTCACCTTCCACAAAAATATGTCTTCCTTCACTAGTCCTCGGTCTCCTCAATCTCAAAGGTTAAGTACTTTCTTTATAAAGATGTCACCTTTCACGAAAATGTATCTTACTACACTTGTCCTCAGCCTCAGAGCGGCACTCATCCTCTCGTCCTCAGCCTTAGAGTGAGAGCATGAATGATCGTGACTCTAAGTTTAAGTTTTCAATCCTCGACCATAATTTTCCTAAAACAACGAAGTCTACTTCTGAGCCTGAGTTGTCGCGTATTATAAGTGAACCTACTCCTAGTCATAGTCTTGAATCTACATCTCCCATTCCTGCATTATCTTTTGTTTTGCAAAAACCAGCACTTTCGGCACCAATTATAGTGTATTAGAGAAAAAGTAAATCCGATCAGTTTTAGAAACAACTTCAATTGCCTGAACCGGAGGTAAGTACTAAAAACCCTATAGTAATTATCTATATTGGAATTATACTGGTAATAGTATGTATAATGTATGAACTAAATAAATATGAACAAATATTATACAGACTAAAAACAAAACAAGATCAAAGTAAATTTCATATGTTTCATAAATTAAAATAGACAACAAAAAAACAGCCAAGATTTGTTTTTGAGAGACTAAACCAGATAGGACTAAAATGTTAACTGTTTTTCCTTCCCACCCATTTTCACTGTCTACCCTAGCATGACAAAACTAAAGGAACACAATTGCAATTAGAAAACTAAGTTTACCTAATGGTGCACTAAATGCACCCGGCGGCAAGGAATCAAATTCCATCCCAAGTATAGGTCCATCCTCTCTTAATGTCTCCCCCAACTGTCTTTCCACCAATGCAACCGCTCGCAGCTCCTGTAACGTCTGATGAGCTTCACGGTAACCACTGCCTTCCATTGCAGGCAATCCAGCTCCCATCCTAGTAAATCCCATCACCCCATACTGTGCCACAACCTGCTGTGCATCCAAATAACCAATTGGCACCGCAGCCTTATTAACAATGGGCGAAGCCTTCCTATCCTTCACTCTCCGGTGACAGAACCACATCTGCAACTGACGATCAGACAAACCTAACTTCACAGATAGCTCAGCCCTCAACGCCTCAGACGGATACGCCTCCGCTGAACCAAAAATAGAAAAATCGATATTTCAACACAAATTCACAGTTCAAGTCAAAGGAACACAAAAATTTGACTTACCAGCATATGCTTTTTCTAGAATCTCCAACTGTGAAGCAGATTTCATTTTGCGTTTCACCTTGTTCTCCTCTCCTTCTGAACAACCCTCCATAGCTGAAGCTAAAGCTCACATTCGCTCAAAACCCTAACAAATTGAACCCTCGCTCCCGAAAACCCAAAATCCACACTCAGAAACAATCCAGAAACCCTATTTAAGTGTTACTTGGAAAGAAGAAAGTGTGATTGAGATGTGTGGTTAAATTTGGGGAATAGCAAAAACAAAAATAATACTTCCTAATAATAGTTAGTAGAATAATTAGTAGAGAGGTTATGGAGGAAAAAAAGATGCAGTAGAAGAAAATAGTGATAAAAGAAAAAGGTGATTAATGAAAGAGAAACTAGGAACAACCCGAGGAATAGTGGTGCATTTCCCAATTGCTGCCATTTTTTTCACCTTTTTTAAAATATTTTGAAAAAATTGATAGAGTGAGAAAAATGAGTATATAATTATAAATTTTGATTTTTGAAAAATGAAGGGATAGTAGTTGATGAATATATTCAATGCGTTTATTATTTATCAATCTCTAGTTAGGTTTGATTTGATATTAACCCGTTTGGTTTCTTTTCTTTTCAATGGTTTGTGTCTGTTCTTCTTGGTAGGACACTGCCAGTTTCGTTTCAGAACTCGTGTTTCGTACCACGCCCACTGCCTCCACCTTCGCGCGTGTGATTTACGCTTATCTTATACTTTTTTCCGAGGGAAACGCTTATGTTATTTAATTTTATTAAAATGTTAATAATTTTTTACATATGGTTTGTAAAAGACAACGCACGGATTGCGCAAAATTGCTATAAATATTATATAATTATGATTAAAATATATATATATATAAAAAATAATATATATATATATATATATATATATATGAATGAAGAGAAAAATATCTTAAATGATGATTGTTATATATAAATATTAATTTAATTTATCATATTGAAATAGTTGTGAGAATATACATAAAAATTACGTTGAAAAATATATGAGTATATGGTGTAGTACATTTCACACAGATTCATATATAAATAGTAAATAAATATAGTATAAAGATGGTTAAGAAATATATATAAAGGATATTGTTGTACCCCAAAATTTGCTCTCCCATTTCCTTCGAGACATTCTCATGAGGTTTCCATTTGCTCAAAACTACTCAAGAGTTGACTGGTCAAAACCACCTCCAAAGCAAGGGTCTTTAACTAGGGTTCGGTGCTTCTTAAAGAAGATTGGATTGCAAGGGTCTCAAATGACTTTCATGGTTCATCATAGGTACTCAATAATGCTTATGTCAAATTTCAAGTCTTGCATCACATGTTTGCTCAGATGATTGAAAATCAACTATATTGAGTAAAAACTCAATTGTGGTCAACATACACTCAAACTTCAAGATTTTTTGTCAACATCAATATTTTGAGGTGATATTCATCATTTGATCAAGGGTTAATCATGATTCCTCAAGGAAAATCCTCAAATCATTAAAGGTCAAAAATTTCCAAAATTAGAATTTTGATTGAAGATGACTGATCATTGGTTGTTGGCCTAGTGCATGACCTAATGACTTAAAGCATGATCTCAAGAGCTCAAATACAACATCTTTACCTAATTATATGGCTCAAAACATTTCTAAAGATACAAGTGATTGATAGTTAAAAATTTGAATCAATTGATAAACAGTTAACAGTCACACAAAAGTCAAACTTTAACTTTTTGGTCAATATTAGAATTCAAAAATCAAGAATCATCAAAACATTCAAAACTATCAAACTTGATCATCAAGAATAAAAAAAGTCAACAAAAGTCAAAAGTTGGAAAATTTTCCAACAAGAAAAATTTTAAAGTGTTTTGTTCTTAACAAAATCACTATTTCATGGCCATTTTCACTAAGATCCAAGTTGATTAAAAAAAAACTTTAAACATGAAAGTTGTAGGAATTGATAAATTCTACAATTTTGTTAATGTAGGATGATCCTCAAAAGTGCTTGTATTAAGATATATGAGTCCATGAAGTTATGATATTTTTATCCAACACTTAGAAAAAATTTCAACAAGTTTTGATCAGTTTTTTATCCCAACTTCTTGGCCAATTTTCACCAAGTTCCTATTTGATTCAGACAAAGTAGCCAGCATGAGAGTTGTAGATCTTGATTCAAGCTTTCCAAAATGCCCAAGAACACAAAAGAGATCATTTTTGAGCTAGGAGATTCGAAGACATGAAGATGACATGACAAACTTGAATTTTAGGTCATTCTTGTGAAGACCTTATGGACAAATCTCATAACCATGCTGCACAATCTCACTTTGCAGGTCTATTAGCTTACAAATCTCTCCATAATCAGAAGATTACACTTGCTTTATGGCTATTATCCAAGTGGTTCAAGTTTTAACCAAGACATTTTGTTATTTTGAGAAGAAATGCAAGACTTCTATTTTGATAAAGCATGCTTTTGCAAAATGTCAATTCATTGAGCTTTGTAATGTTTATATTTGATTACAAGCAAGCTCAAAAGCATGGAGCAAACCCTCTGCATCCAACAACTTCAGACCATGTTTGTACTTAAGCATTGAAACCATGGAAACCCATCCAACTTGATTTCTCACTTTTAACCAAACCATAACATGCTATCTTGAAAATCTGGTTACTTGAGTCTTCCAAACCTCTAGCCTATAAATAAAGAGGTCATTAGCAAACCATACCACGAATAGACAAGCCCTCAAACCCTCTCAAACTCTCACAAACCAAAATTTTCTCAAAAAACACCATTGTTGCACATTTGAAGCTTCTAACTCCCATTTCTTATCCTACTCGTGCGTTTTCCATTGTTATCATTTACAAAGTTTCTAAAACTCATTTAGAGGTTATCCAAACCATAAAATCCAAATTGATATTGTGCCATTCTCACCCTCTCACTCAAAAAACAGTCGCCTGCATATTGACTTGATTGGATCGTTTCAATAAGTTTCAAAGCAAAGTAAGGATTGGAATAGTTTCAGTGAAGTCCGAGCAAGCTCATAAGATTATCACATTGCACCTGGAACAGCTAGAATGAGCTTTCAACTTTTCTCCAAAGAGGTAAAAAAACTCAAATTGTGATATCCATATACACGCATCGTTTGCTTTCAATTTCAAAATATAAAATATAGATATGATTATCCTGAAACTAACCATGTCCTTAATTTTCATTTATGTTGGTTGTGTGTTGAGAATTTTGCCTCTGACCAGTTAGGATTCATTTTTGGTACCAATAGAAATTCTTGATAATCTTTGAGTGTTAGTAAAAATAAGTGGCATGACTAAATTCGTGTTCAAATTTCAAGCAAATTTGGTGTTTACACTTTTTGAAAAGGTTGAGAAATGAAGCTTTTTGAAATTCAAAAAAATGTTGTTGTTATTGTCTGGCGCGAGGAAGAAGAAGTGGGAATTCCATTTCTTGAAACAAGTTTATAATATATTTACTATGGGACGTTTCATAACCGGATGAAACAGTCACCCTAGTGGTAAAACAAGCGTGCGTGTTACTATAGGGACCTGGGTTCGAGCCCCAGTGGTACCCTTTTATTTTTCACATATTTGTTCCTTGCAGATTCAGCGCAGGCAACCCTAGTGCGCTCATGGTGCACCTATGTATAATAACCATCAGATTTCATAACTCTGGATCTAGCGCTTCAGAAAGCCATGCCCATGGTACATCCCAAATAATTGTCCATACGTGATCATCACAGGCGCCTGGGCTCCTTGAGTTGGGCTTAAACTTTTGCTTCCTTCTCACCCCCATTTTACTTGTTTACACTCAGGCCCATTTTATTTTCTTTATTTTGTTTTAATTAATTATTTCTTTTAATCTTTTTTATTTAATCACAAAAAATCATAAAATCATTAAAAAAATAGATTTAGTTTTTTTGATTAATTAATTTAATTTTTGATAAATAAAATTAATTTAACTTAATCATATTTTGTTTTTATTTATCAATCAACTAATTAATTAATTAGGATTAGGGTTTATTATTTTACACTATCAAATATTTTCCTAAACAAAAACAACAAAATATTTTCTTAAACACTTAGAAATATTTTAGGATTTCTTAAACATCTTTCCCCTTTTCACCACCTCCGCGCACTTTATTTTTGCATTAGTATTTTCCAATATTGTAACTGCTAATGGTCTGTAATAGATAATTAGGTTTACTTTACTTTTCATCCCCATTCACAAATTTATATCTCCATTCCCGAAGCATTGTAATAGCGTAGGACATTTAATTTCTGCAATTTATTGTTTTCCTTATTACTGTTAGTTTAATAGGATTGTATGAAAAAATTAAAAATCAAACAATAGAAAACCTAATCTCAAGATAAATATTTGAAAACAAAACACTTCGTACACGCACACCTCTAGGGTAACCCTCACTTGTTGCCTTAGATTTAAACAGTCATGTCCCTCGAACATGGGATGCTTTAGCAATGACCCCCGGTTAAAAGATCGTAGTATCTAGATGACCCTTCGATGCCGCCTTCAGTAAACGATCTTAGTCCCTTACGAAAATTGCTAAAGCGTCCTACCAGTTACCTTCTATGATTGTATGATGACCCACTTTTGTCCCTTGTAACACCCTCTAAAACCCCGCATATAATTTTCGCAAATATTAAAAAAATTATAAACTCAGAGTACATGTAATAATCGAGGAATGCTACAATTCTCTTTTAATAAAATAAATTCCTGTCATGCATAATTTTAGTGGTAACTCGTACATGTCTACACAGCGGAATAATTTATTTAATAAAATCAAATGTTATAATAATTTCCAAGTCATCAGGGATTAACACCTGGAAAGTCAACATTATATCATAACAAATAAAAAGGAATAAACGAGTCTGACTAAAGCAGCTCGACAACCAAACGTTCCCGGAGTTACAACTATCAGAGCATGACCCGGACATACTAAAACGAAACTAAACTAGACACGATAAGCCTTCGCCAAGCACCTGAGCGAAGCTCCTCAATCTGAAATATTCAACAGTAAGGGTGAGCTTCTCAAATATACATTTGGTTATGCATTCATAACAA